ATACCTAACGGTCCTCCGAGAGTATGCGACGGAATTGAACCCGAGATGTCAAGTATGATAACCGGTGTCGCAACGCGAGATATGAGCAGCTTGACATTATCGACAACGGAAAAGCCGGAGAAATATTTCTGGCATCCTTGACAATTGCCCCGCGAAAGCACGGTCCTTGAAGAATTCGATACGACAGCGAGCAATTCATATTGAATCTTATTAATTTAACCATCGACACGACGGGTTTCTAAATCTAGCGTCGAATCAAAATGTCAAGTTATATTTAAAAGTCGATCGTTTCGTATGAACGGATTTTTCGAAGAGTTAAGGAGTCTCGCGCCTGGTTAAAATTTTGCGAACCCTCCCGATCGATGATCCAGTTACAAACATAAACAACCAGGTGGTTCGAGCCAATTTCGAGCGTTCGTATTAATTCCGATGGAAATTGAACGTATCGGGAGCACTCTGGGCGCGTTAAATCTACGGGGCTTCGTCGCTCTGTCGTTTAATTAAACGCTATTTTGTCCTTCAAAACGCGCTGGTCGGCAGTACGCGCGGGGAGACAAGCGTAGCGCGACACAATCAGATGCTTGAAACTATCTCGTGTCGGCACGCAATATCGACTATGATGTCGTTGTACCCACGCGGGGCTACTAGCGTTTAATTCTCTGGTCGCGTGTATGCGTTCTGTGTACACGCGCGATACATGCTCTGGCGTGTCATCGAACGGACCGTTTACCGAGATCCGTTTGTTGCCACAATGCACGCGACCATGGCCAATGTTAACGTGCTAATTGTTTTAGCCACCTAATTATGGTTGCCGGCATTATCGGTGTCACCTGACAACTTCGTGCCCCAGGGACAAAAATTGCCTACGATCCGGAACCAATATATATGGCTGCTTTGGCTTTCGAAACGGATAAGCATCGATGTTCGGGCGAACACGATGCGAAATCATGAAACATTAGGGAATTAACGTTTCGATATTGATCCAGATCTGTTAGACTCCGAAATAGCCAGAGGATTAACCCTCTTTCGGTCTCCATTTACGAAAACTAATGGGTCTTTCGTGTGTAAAACAAAAACATTTGGTAAAGTTTTTATAATTTGAAACGATAAGTTTGTTTTTTATAATACTGAGGATATTCCATAATGAGAAAGAGTCATCGAACCTCTACAGAAATTGTAATTAGGGCAAATAAAATGAATTTAAATTTTCATAAAGGATTTCTATTCAAATATACAAAGTTCCAACACTCTTAGCTTTAGTAGAGGTTCATTAAATTGGAATAATGATATTAATACTGGAGAGGCCAATGCTCTGATTTAATACCATAATATTCACTGTCGCAGAGAGATAGAATTTGTTCTCGTCAAAGGATTTCCGCAGCAATTATATTCGCGAGAAAACAGATCAATTATAATGAACTATTTGTATCAGTCGCCTAATTATAATTAAAATCATAATTCTATCATCGATTGTCCAATCCAAATCATGTATCGTCACTAATAATAATCATTTTCATTCGGTTATCCTATAATAGCGTGCTTAAAGAAAAAGGCTATTTATCTTCCTCGCACCCCGTGCATCGTCCACATTTATACTCGTTCGGTAAATAAAGACGGATTTGATTTTCCAAACTTTAAACCAACGAAAGAAAGCGTCGATTTGTTTCGCGTCGAATGATCGAACAGAAATCAGTCGCGTCCCGATACGCCATCCATCAGCTTGATTCAGGCTCGACCTGGTCCCGTTTTCAGGGAAATATTAATCAAAGTTCACGGATTCGGTATTGTCTCTGGTAACCTGTTCGCTCGATTATCGCGCGTCTGGCTCGCAAATGAGGACGCAGAGTCTTCGGGCGCGAACGATCGCAGAGATTTATGAATCGGGACGCGATGCAGTGTCACGGCTACAGAGCCAGGAAGTTCTCGATAATCGATAGCCTTTGACGCAAAGAGTGGAAGAGGCATTGAAAGAGTCTAGCGAATGGGACGAGTATTCTTCAAAAGGCACCCCACCCACCAACTCGTCACAAAGGTTCAAACTTTTCAATATCTCTAGCTAGTCACCCACCAGGACGCGATTTTCGTCGGACCTTCGGGATCTACGATCGTTCCGTGGCCCCGAGAGAACGCGAATCAGTCGCAGGTTGTGATGTTCCATCGAATCTGGCAACAACGAGGGTCACGTAAACGGACAGGGTCCCGAATAGCGAGAGAAAGTGGACACGGTCGAATTTTTACTTCCGTTTTGCTTGTCCAACGGGGAAAATTGGGCTGCAATAAAATAATAAAACGTCCCAACGGGGCACTGTTGTCGGAATTATGGAAATGGGAAAATTTTTGTCAACGACGTCGCATTGTTGTCGGTTCCGGAGCAAGAACATCGATCGAATCGACGTTTCGGAATCGATTGAATTCGAAAATTGCACGGAACGATAGTCGACGTTATACGAAATAATATCATTAGATAGAATTTAACGAAATACCTGAAATAAAATTTTTAACTTACAAAATTTTATTTATGAATCACGTAACACTGATTAAATATTGTGCATATCCAGACACATACCTCATTAGCGTAGTTAGCAATTTACCCGCTTAGCTCGTGTGCTTTTTAGATTTGCGTGTTTTATGGGTTTTCATTGTAAAGCTTACAATTTGTCAGCCCCGCTTTCGAGTGCTCTGAAAAACACTGGGTTTCCTCCCGCGGTTTTGAATTAATATCATGTATCTCGTATATACTAAACAAATTCTAATAAAATTATGTCGGATATACTTACATAAATATTTATAAAATTGTGAGACGAATCGTGTGAGCCTGAATTGGAAACGTCGAACAGCTGATAAGTTGGCACCTGAAAAAATTAAAGACTGAATTAGTTCAAGTGTAAAACCCTCTTTATAGATCCCCTTTTACCACGTGCATTGTGCAAAGGAAATAAGAAGCACCGGAGAGACTTCTACCCTTATTCCTCCTGTGATAATCCAGACTGTCACCTGTAAATAATAATTTTAATTTTATTATTATAACATGTTTTTTTCGTAAGAATTCGAAAGCGTCGGTGAAAGCTGCGATATTATTAACGATAAATACTTACCATTTTATGCACGAGTACGTAGATATATTTCGAACACAAAACTGTATACTTTTAAGCATCTTCGTCCACTGCGAAATTACGTCATGCACGACTTTGTACTAATTGCTGGCACGAGTGGCTAAAGAGGATCAACGGAAAATCAACTTGTTCCCATCTTCCTCTTGTACCTATTTAATCAAGCTGTCCGCGTTTCCGTAGCAATAAGACATTTGTCAACAGAGTTTCCCCGGATTAATCCGTCGCCGAACACGGTTCTTCTCCGGATTGTTCGTGTAGTTTATGCGAGCGTAACCTTCGGCGGAAGCGCTCGTCCGGCCAAAACGCGCGTCGTAAATTCGCCCGGGCGGCGCAATAGTTCCGCAGACCGCGATTTCCAACTTGACAAATCCTGCGAGCGCAATTACGTCTCGTTCCAGGCCGACGGCGGCGTCGAGATTCAAAGGACGGATTACCGCGGCCATCGTTGAAATCGGTGAAACGCACGGGGAAAAATGCTCGGCTCGACGCACCCCGAAATAAAAGGACCGCGCGAAATCAAAGTCCCTCTGTGTTTCATTTCGCTACGCGCGTCGACCGATTGACGCTCGTTTGCTCTTTATGGTTCGGATTCTTTGCCAGTAACCACGTCATTGTAAACGCGTTATCGATTTCTTTCTTTTTCATTCGAAACAGCTGGGGGAAAAATACACGCTGACCAACATTGTTCTACGACTTTGTCCGCGGACAAACGCGAACAATTCGGATTAATGAAGAAGCGTATTAATCGAACGCGTGAGAAAGAATGGAATACAGCGATACGCGTGATATCTCGATCGTTATTTGATCTGTGGCTTCTATTGTTAACCCTTCGGATTCGATAGATAGTTTTTTCCACGATATTCCATGAATATTGCAACGTTTCATTCGTAAACAGTTTAATTTCCGTTCGCTGGCTGACATTTTCCAAAAGCACGATCCCCTATCAGAGGTCGAAGTAACAGGTCGGAGAAAGTCGGAAAACTTATCCCCGTGGTAGTAGATTACACAGCACGGTTATCAAAGTTTGCCCTTTACCAGATTCTGCAAACTTTATCGATATCTTAAATTTTCTTCGACTTTTTCGCGGGCAATCGATACCGTATCGAAACTTCGAAGGCTGGTTCCAGCCTTTAAAGTCGAGTTTCCGAAGCCGAGAAAGATACGCCTCCCTTACTTTCGCTTGTGCTACAAATAGCTAAAGTTTCCAAATAGACATCGCTACCACGAAGCTATTATTCATAGTATTCACTTCGCGACTGTTTCACAAAAGAAATGCATTGTTCGACCATGCATCGATGTGGAAAGAAGAACGACGCAAAATAGCCACCTTTTTATTCCTTGGAAAAGAAACATTACTACTATGTTGCAAAAAAATTGTTCACATTAAAAATAATATAAAATATTCATGGTAAAATTATTAGTAATCCCTAGAAATATATTTTTTATTTATATACTGAAGTGTCCAGGAATTGAAATATGCTATTGCTGTTGCGTAGAACGGTTAGTGCTTGTAAAAAATGGGAATATGCAGAGTTTCGCGTTGAGAACGAGCTGGGGAACGAGATCATCAGCAAATTCACGGTAACGTGTATTGCTGACAACACAGGGAAAATTCAGTTCCCTTGCAACAACCGTTACCGCGGTAACAGGCGGCATTCGAGGTTGATACACGTCCCAGAGTGATAACAGCTCCTGGCCATGACGCTGGACCCGGAACTTGTGTCGCCTACTCTAATCCCGTCCATCGGTGACCGCACCCTAGCTCGTTTGTTATTCCCACTTTCATGCGGGGTTGAAGGCTGCATCGTCGCCGTTTTTCATTGTCACCGATCCGGTATATAAACCATCGCTCCGGGAGGATTAGGCATCAGTCACAGCCAGCTGAAGACTAAGACAAGTATCATCATGAAGTTCTTGGTGAGTTCACGCGGTCCGAAGAATAAGCGTACGAAGTTTCGTGACTCTTGTTCCTGATCGACGTTTCTGAAATTGGATTTTGTCGGAGTACTATACTTTTCTTGTTGAAGGAACACGAAAGCACGAAAAATTTGTACTAGATTCCATGATAAATGTGCTTTCTTTGCTTGGGGTGAATGATCGTACGATTAACCCCCTTTTGTATTGATTGATTTCAACTGTGACGATGTACACTGATATATTCTTTCGATAATATTACGGTAATTGAACTGGAAAATAAATAAGATCACTCTGTAATTGTACTGTAATCACGCAGTAATTGCACAATATTAGATAGTTCTAATACTACTGCAATCAGACAGTAATTACCGTGCGGTCACAGTGTAATTACAGTGTGGTTACGAGTTATCTTATCGTGATAAATGTGTTCACATTTCGTCCAACTCTCCGGTAATTCTTGTCTTTCATAAACTATTTTTAATATTAATAATGGCTGTCAAACGGGCCATTATTAATATTTAATAAAGAGTGTCAGCAGCGCTACTATATTAATATTTAATAACGACGATGACAGCATCGTCCTTTAAGAGCAGTTTGAAACAGTTTCATAGAAAAGTTCAATTTTCTAATAAAGGACGTTTCAACCCTTATAACAGCATTAACTAATTAATTTTCAAACTACACTAACATCGTTCTTATTGAAATATAAACTAAAAATTGCAACTTTGATCTAGTGTATGTGATGGTTGAAATGGTTTTTTCAGATCGTTCTCGTAGCCGCTTTGGCCATCGCAGCCGCCAACCCAGAACGCGAACGTCGTTCGCTCGGTTGGGGTCACAATGGAGCCGTGGTGCTAGGCGGTGTGGTACCAGGCATAGCTTTGGCAGGTCCAGTAGCTCCTGCAGCTGCAGTTGTCGGCCCTGTCGCTGGATCCGCGGCCGTCATTGGGCCTGTCGCACCTTCAGCTGCAGTCGTTGGACCGGCTGCAGGTAACTTTATCTTATCTACTATAACTAGTTCTGCTTGGAATTAGCATTGGATTTTCCATAATTACGATAACCTGACAAGTTGCCCAAGCAATCGACCGATAACATCAGCTACGATGAGATTCGCGCCGATTGCAGAATAATTCTAGAGTGGAATTATCAACAGTTCGCAGACTGGTATTTTTCCATAATTATGTCTTGCGTGTCACTGCTAATAGCAGAACTTTAAATCCTTGTCTTGTTTTAATGCCTCGTTGATACTATTACTATCAATTGATCCAATTTTGATATTATCGATTCTCGATATAAAATAGTTTTCGTTTCTCTCATCGGATCTTCAATAGTCTAATTTACCACCAAAAGTCTTCCATCTATTTTCACGATGGATCATCCCTTGATCGGTTGTGCCACGATTGCAGACGTGCCCTGTAAATGAAAACACAAATAATAAATGAATGTTCGGTTCGAAGGATCCGCGGTCGTCGCTGGTCCCGCTGGAACGGTTGTGGCTCCAGGACACGGAGCATGGAACGGAGTCGTGGGACTCTGGTAAACATCGAAATACTCAGGACTTGGCCCCCCACCGGAGAGCTTTACAACAACTCGAACGATCTCCCATCAACTCTCAAGCGGCTTACCACCAGACCTCCATCCTCGAGACATCGACCAATGCTCACCGTCATCGGGAGCACATGATTATTCGGGGTCCATGACTCAGGACCTACGATCGCACACTTCGATTCGCACGGACGAGTCCGGGTATCCTCGAGGTTCTTTCGTAGGATGCCCTCTTTGTAACTACCCGTGTTACCCTTTTGTACGATAATAAATGAAGCAACCCAATTACGCTTTTTGTACGATAATAAATGAAGCTCCACTGTACTCTGGTGTTTTCGTTCAGTTTTAATCCGCGCGCCTAATCCTGAAAGATTGTCCCGTCGGATTCAAGTTTGAAACCGCTTAATTCGGCCATAAAAGTTGCCGTGTTCTCGTCGTCCTCGCGAGACCAGTCGTTTCAGTTTTTAATTACTTTAGATTGTTAAGCGCATTGCGCCTGTTGGACGGCCTATTGGCGCGGCCAATGAAAGGATAGTGAAAATAATGGATTTTTCGCGGTTTTCTAACGCCAAGAAGGGGGCCAACTGCGATCGAGACACAGCAATCTGTTCCGCCAACGCTGGTAAATCGGAGTCGTTCGCGAGTCGGACAGGTTCCGATCGCGGTGGGAATTGTGGGATGCAGTGCTCGTTTCAACTGGATATATTGGCTATTAATAATTGCACTTGTTGCTTCGACAAGCCTCGATAGACATACAGTCAGTGATGGATATAATGAAGGGGGGGCTACAAGAACTTCGGCTCCTCCCATTAATCAAGGAAAAATATGATTTTCAGTAGCTTCGAGTGATTTCTTTGTTAAGAAATATACCACAATACTAAAATATTACGAAGTATGCAATGCCTGTTATAAGATGCATAGAAATCTGATTAAAATAAAATAAACGATTTCGATATAATAATAATATTGTTTTACAGAATATATTCTCCGCGAAATATTTGTAACTTAATCTCTAATAAATATTTTAATGATGATGTGCTCATATCGATTCGCTCGTAGGTACATATGATACATTTTTCGTATTCATTAAATTACAATGGATTCGCCGACAAGGTACTAGCAAAAAAGTAAGCTAATGTAATTACTATATGTTTTTTTATTTATCAACTCTCGTTACTTCTGAATTATTTATGTTTAATGACCAGAACGTGCGTGGCTCGATCTTTTTAGGATTAATATTATTTTAACAGAAGGTTTTCCTCTTTCTGTGTAATTTTATTGTAATTTAATTATGAACTTTGCGAAAAAACAGGTCGGTTGTTGATTGTTATTGGAGTTGAAATGTAGAACATAAATAACTGCGATCTAACATTGATTATTTCTCACGTGTTGCAAATCTGATCAAGCTTTCTGTAAATAGATTTTTCATTCGACGACTCCGTAAACAGACGTTCCCATAAGCTACACATTGACTGTGCACATTTGTAATTAATCATTATGTCACAGTGTCTGAATATTTATATACGGAACACGTTATTATTACTAAACATGCATACAAAAAATTCATAATGTATGCATTAGGAGCCTAAGTCTGATCGAAGACATCCGTTACTTTAAATACGTATGTATATTAACATATACGGTAATCGATTGGAATCTTATGGATGTTAATTAACTCATTTGTAAATCGCTACATTAGCGACAGGTTCCGATTATTCTATGCTTGAATCGTGCGGTGTAGCAAAGCGACACTTTGAAATAATACTTTAAATAAGAAACAAAATCTCGACAAATATTATATTTTTAGTTCGACAAACTGAAACAAAAAACATGTTTCTATTCCGTCATACGTTATAACTGATTGAATTAAGATATTTACTAGATGTTTACTGACAACATAATTAAAATTTCAAGACTATAGATTGATTAATTCTTGAAAATCACATTAACTGTGTACTTTTGAAGTATTAAATCCAAGACTCGGAGACCTATTTCACCGCATAAAATTAATTCAAGAGTTACTTATCAATATTATGCACAAGCATATCGTACGATTAGAAAAATGTTGGTAATTTCGTATGGAAGACATTGTGGTTTAAGTTTTAAAATAAGTTTATTATCTGATGTTACAATTTAAATTACTAGAGGGAAAGGGGGGAAATGAACTTTTCCATCGTGCCAATTGTGGGGGTTCGAACGGAATTGTTGCCAGAAGGGGGTGGTTGGATGCCGTCAGTCGTCGAATTCGAATTTAGCGCAATGAGAGTTTTCTCATCGTCAAGCTTCCTCGTAATACTTCAGGTCCAGTTTCGCCAGTTTTTTAGTAGAATTTACCATCCTTTGAGTCCCCACGCGGGAGCGGCTACAACGGCTGCTGCTTCATACAAAGAAATTATGTTAGCATATATATAACGAAAGTATCGTTAATTATTTTCTTTTTTGCTGCATTTGTTATTGCCCTTAATACGAACCAACTTACATACCTGGATATTTATTATATAAATGAAAATATTGCAATCACTTAACACAGAAAGTTAAATTGTTCAAGAAGTATGCCATTGCTCGAATTAAATGCTTGGAGTTAGGCCTCGTTAACTTTTAGAGGCTCATACAGCGTTATAGACTCTTTGCAAACATACTCGCGACTGCTAATGATAACCAAGAGGATTGAACCGAAAACGTTTTATAAGAAATTGCTTGATTCGACCGATCTTGAAGTAAATAGGGCTTCTATCATTCGATCGTAAACAGCAATGTCAGGACCTCCAGACGTCGAGTTTCATCTATCTTTCCCGTAGAACGAGTTAAGTCTCAATATAGATGAGTTTCCACTCGACATCGGGAGATCTTGACATCGCTGTTCACGATCGAAGGAGAGAAATTTCCTTCGGTATTTCTCGAACACGAGACACAATTTCGAAGGAAAATCCAGAAGAGACTTTCATACTCGGAGGAATAAAACTTATTGTCTCGTCATCCGTCGTAGGAAATGTGAAAACACTTGAATTGGAAGAAGCAATTCTAATTAACTAACCAGGTCTCTCTTTTGTTTGTAAAATAGATTAAGTTAACTTTATATCAAAAGGACGTCTTAATAAGTCTTCTTCGAGTGCGATCACTACTTCGAAAACAATTATAAATTACCGTATACGTTTTGGTTACTTCGATGGTACTACAATTTTCTAACTTTTTAAAGATAATTTACTCTAACTGAACAGATATTAACAAAGCAACTTTTCTACAATTATCAATTACGAGGGCTGGATAAAACCAAAACTGTAGACAATTTTCTCGGAAATTGTAGTATACTTACGCGCCGCGAGAAGTTTGGGGGCAGCGGCAACGGCGATCGCGGGGGCAGCCGCGATTTTGGGTCCAACGGCCCATGGGGCGGCCAGAGCGGGCGCCGCGAGGATTCCACGACGTTCTCGTTCCTGTTCAGGGAAAGCCGCGACGATGGCGACGATAGCGAAAAGGATCACCTATGGAAGACCAAAGGAAAGCGTTAAGAATCTTCTAAACGGACCCTTCGGACTCGTCAAGCGTCCCTCGAGGATCGAAAGAAGAACGATCGTTCCTCGCCGTCAGCTTCGGCCAATGTACGAGACTGCAGGTTGCTCTTACCAAGAATTTCATTTTGTTGGTTGGGTTGGGTTGCTTAAGCTTCTTCTAACTCGAATGTGCAAGCGACTGATGAAAATCCAAGCTTCAACTTTGTCTTTTATACTCTTATTTTCCTACCCGCGCGGTCTGGCACGGCGTACGTCATCCACCCCGTACGTACGCGTGTCCAGGTTGTCGGCGTTGTTGCTGAGCGGGCGTGGTCGGGGACTTGAATCCGTAAATCAAGACAGCGATCTAAAACGATGAACTCGCACAGTGGCGGTGTTGCATCAGAAATCTCGATGGCGCTGACTGGTGCACGCAATGCCGCGCGAATGTTGCAGAAGTTTTCAGCGTCGACGGAACGGGGTCATTGGTATTTGCATATTTTACCGGCGTGGATTTTTTCCCATCCCCGATCGGTCGTTGTGTTGGACCTGCAACGTTGATCGTGAACAGAGGGAGGGAGGGAGGAAAGAATCGACCGGCCGTCACAATTTAGGGTTCGACTATAAGATGCAATGCGCGACGGGTGTTGCGAAATCGACTTTCAATTCTGCGTGAGACGGCCTTGAATACGCCGCGACCGATAGCTAAAATGTATCGATCGTGATACAGACAGGCAGGAAACGCTGCCTTGAAAATCCAGTTGAGCGTTACAACATAGGTGAGCAATTGCCCGTGTCCACGCGCGCTTCCAATTCACCCATTTTTTACCCCCAATTCGCCATTTTTTTCGTCGGATATTATTTATTTTCTCGACCACGATGAATAATACCGTTTAGCTGGCCGACTGGTTCAGGTGGTTATTTTGAACTTTCTGTTTTCAAGGTTTTCGATCCGATCTTGTTTTCCTCGGAAAACTGTGTTCGTCGCTCATCTTTCAAAGCTACGAAACTCGAAGAAAACGATGTTCGAAGTTCCAGGAGTTCGTTTTCGAAACTCTTTGTTGTTGGATGTCCTTTGTCTGTCATAAATGGCGATCATTCGATCGGCGCAGCATACGTTTCCTTGTGGCAACCATTTTCCGACGACAAGTGTATGCATGGAAGATGGATTTGTCTGGTGGGAGTGTTACTTAATCTACTCAGACATTAAACAGACTTCTAATGCGTTATCTTCGAGAACATCTGCATCTTGAATCTCGTTCAATGCATTGCACATATTTTTCCATATTTTTCCATCGTTGGAGGTTAACGATAATGTCAGTCATCATAATTTCTCATAATGGTTATTTCGCTATGGATTGATAGCGTTTTTTGTCATGAAAGTGCAATTTATAGATGGGAAGATGAATTCGTATCATACAAAAGGGCATCGATTGAGTTGATCCCAGTTCTAGTTATTCTTAGGGCAACACAATCAACTCCTACCGCTTCATCGAGCTTGAGTGCAAGTTTCTTAGCACGCTGCTGCATCAGTTGTGTTAGGCCAGGCCATCTAGAGCCTCCTCCTTACGTTCAATAGTCGAAAATGGCAGCTGCCTATAAATCACTCCACGATGACCAAATACCTAAGATTACCACGTACAATAGGGCGTCGATTATCCGTAAATTGATGATCCAGACACCGATTATACGTGAATTGATTCACTGCTTATTGATTATTCGCACCAACTTAGCGCGTTAAACCGCCACTGTGCTCTTCGACCAAATAATTTTAAAACGGTCGAATAGCTGCTTCGATTCTTGTGTTAGAACTAGTTAAAAAGTTATCGAATGTCAGGAGTATTCAAGTTAGAGGCGTACAACCTCCCTCGCCCGAAGGCTATGGACGTGTTCCACCCTTCGGTACGCCCAGGAGGTTATTGGAGTCGGAGTAACTAGCTCTTCGTTATTCGAGTCATAAAGGAACGGGTACGAGAGACCCTCCAGACTTTAATTGACATAAGGATGTTTTCTCTTGGATCCCTTTGCTGTCAGACACTAATACAACTCCCCCAGCATTTGGACCCCTAGTTCCCTCAAGACAAGGGACTCTCTGGCAACGTATCTGAAAAGCCTGCATGTTGAACGAAAGCAATCAGGCCCGTAGGCATTACACGTTTCTGAAATTGCCCTAAATTGCCACTGCTATTTTTCTACCCCTAGCTGCAGATGTAGTTACACGTGGAAGGATCGAGGAACACATATACAGAAGATAATCAGTTTTAATAGGTATAAAATATCATGTTTGCAATCAAGAAATACTTTATAATCGGCTTTTGGAAACTCCCGGGAGCAACGCTTATCCTATTTAAGATTTTCTTCGATTATCCGGACGAAGGACAATCTAGATGGTATGTCGTTCATCGATTTCTCGGACTAAACTATCCCCCGTCCAATCCGTATAATCGTCCCGCTGCGCCGTTTCCCGAGTGCTCAGTCTTTGTTCTGTTTTCCATCGCGTGGAATTCCTGGGAGACCGTGTCCTGATCGAGGAAACGGGGCGCGGTGACCTTTTTTCCTTACTCATCACGGGAGGCTACGCGTAATGGAGTATATAACGGTTCAATCCGGTTCGAAATGGATCAGTAACAGACGCGAATGCACGACCGGGCGTAGAAGAACGCCGAGGGAAATATAATAGGAGAGGACGACGCAGACAAGGAGCCATGAAGCTGCTGGTAAGCGGAAAAACTTTATCGCGGCTCATCGGGCGGGCCGAAGGGGAGATTGTTACGAAAAGAGAATCCGCGCACCCGTTCCTGATGAGAAAACTTTAATCTGTTGGCTCGTAATGCACTTTCGTGTCCCCCGTGAAATATGAGCGGCTCGCTATCTCTGACCAATGTCCCCTGATATATAGATCGCCACGGTGTTCCTAGGCAGTCGAATAATTGAAACGTATGGCCGCGTTCTGTAACTTTGATTAAGACGAGTGGCGCATCGATTTCACTCAAGGCGTATAACTACCCCAACCCTTTAAAAAATCTTATTTTCTTTCAATGCCCGTCCATTATCGAGTTCCAAGAGTGATTCAATGTTATTACTTTCAGTTTTTGCAAAACCATGTTTCGAAATACGCGGGAAAAAGAAGCAAAGTTTCGGTATTTGCTCAACTCTGATTCTTTTGACCTGTGAACCGAAAACGGTCGAACCCAAGGCTTGCAATTTTATTTTTGGATGATTCCAATCGTGCCTTCGAAGTGGTTCGTTTTCTTCGTTTTCTCCAGAATTTGTCGATCCCAAGACCACCGTGTCCCGTCGAATCGAGAATCAAACGGTTCAGCGATTCCGATTTCTCGATCAGACAGGATCGTCGGTGGTCGATCCAAGGAGCTTCCTCCTTTGAAGAAGCACGAGCGCTGGTCACAAAATGTTTGACCGAATGCTGTCCACGTGCTGGCACGTAACCGCGATGGTGATGACGTGTTCATGCACGGCACGTCTGCAGGGAATCGAGTTATGTAAATTCATGGTGCGTGCGACTCTATCCGCGACCGTAGGATGAGACGGATGCGTGCCGGATATTGTTCTGGAATCACCTGAAACGTTGTCGCAACTCGTAACGATAAATTGCGTCGGTTAGACTCCAACTGGCCAAGTTACTCTCGATACAGTTGACGTAACTTAATCGTCAGCGCGTATTAATTGCCGCCGCTTGTCCAAATTAAGCATTTAGTCGCGCGGTCGAAGAACTAACAAAACTCATTACCGCAAATAACTTTCCCGACTCTGAAACGTCGGTATTTGACGTGCTCTCAACCATTTAATAATTGAATTTCCATTATCGCAACATTCGCTATTCACAGAAGATAACTTGACGCTTGACGTTAGTTTGAATAATGGAAGTTCGCTAAATCGAGCACCGACGAAAATATTCGCTCGAATAAATGGAGTCCTATCGTATCGCCAAAACCGCTATAGAACCTCATCCAGGCTGTACGAACGCGGCTCAAGTTGGAATATATCGCCCACAGGCGACAAGCGATAAAGAACAACAATGTTCGATTAGAGCAGTAGTCGCAGTAAACATCGGTTAATAGGAGATATTTATGGTCGTGATTGCGAGAAAACATTCCAACAATTGTGTCGCTGGTCCCAGGGACACCGTCCCACGTTTACCTGCGCAGATAACGCGTCGCGGCTCGTGACGCTCGTCTTAATAAATCACACCTTATCCGTTTTCAGCTACAGTTAGCGGCATCGATTCTCCTGACATCCGTTTGCGCCAGCGGCTGGCCTTATCGTGAAATAGTGGGCGTCGGGCAATCGGCAGCGCCTCTGTTCCTAGCACCAGTTTATGGACTGGCACCTGCAACGAGCCTACTGCCGCCGGAAATAGAAAAAGATTGCCCGACCATCGTCGCTGGCCCCGTGACTGGAACCACCATCGTCGAAGGATCGTCCAGCGGACCCGTGACCACCATTCTGTCGCCCGGAAACCCGCTCGACGCGATCGAGAACACCCTACCGCCAACAGGAAGTGAGCAATCTCGGCGTATCGTAGTTTGATAACTCCGAAATTTGAAGGTTCCAACGCGAACGAAATAAACGATCGAGCGTCTAAGAACGCTTCGAACCCAACTCGAAACTTTATGACTCCATTCACGGGTCCATTTTCGGTTGCGTAACCGAAGGTAGCACAGTATATAGAAATCTATTGCCTCATATACATTTTACGAGACGCGTAAACCGAGGAATTTATCGCGTTTCCTCGATGAACTATGGATTTAGTTCATTCAAAAATTTATGCAGACTACGTAACGTGCTCTATAATTTACCAGTGAATCAGGGACATATATAGCGATAAAAAATATTTGTACAAACATGTATCGGCGTTCGATCTTCTTCCCGAGTTTTAACCATGTACGAGTAATGCACAGTTATCTTCGTGGAAAACGAAAGTAACTGGAAACATGGCTATAACTTGAGAACAGGATGGAATATTGGATTTTCATTATTTCCGGTTAGTTCTGGTTTGAATTTAACGCTAGATTTACGAACCTTAATGGCACATATTTTTATCGAAACTCGTTGCTTCGACGGTTACACTGAAATGCAGTTTTCCTTTTAATTAGGGTACATGTTCGTATCGTTACAGCCATAAAATTCAATGCAAATTGCTAGCGAATAACGTTCACGAGTTTTGGAACTTCGAGTATGGAATTTGAAACCCGTAAAATTAACATTATCAAACTGGGAAAGGAAGTTCCGATTTTCTTTTCAGGAGGCAACGATGCACCAGGTGCATCCGAAGATTCGGTGCTCATTAAGGGAGCCTCTGCGGGTCCGGTAACGCTCGTCGCTCCTTCCGACAATTCCGTTGCCAGCGTTGATAATGCAGCGTCAGCCCGAGCGGAAATAAAGAACGAGGCTGTTGCATCGTCAGCATCGGCGGTCGCAATCGAAAATACAGAAGAATCATCGGTCGCGGGAGCGTCGGCGAACGCGACGGCAATCAGCGAAACAATAGGAGTAGCATCAGCGAAGGCTGTAATAGGTCCCTCCACTGGGCCCATAATCATCGTTGGCCCAACTGCTCCACCGGTGCCAACGATCAGCGTTCCAACAGTTGCGCCATTGGCGATCGCAGATTCGACTGCCAACAGCATTGTCAGTGTAGCTTCGTCCGCTAACAGTTCTGTCAGCGTAACTTCCACTACCAACAATTCTGCTGGCACGTCTTCGACCGTCAGCAATTCTGCCGCGACAACTTCGAGTGTTAGCAATTCTGCTACAACTTCGAGTATCAGCAGTTCCGCGGATACAGCTTCGACTGTTACCAACTCTGCTGCAACAGCTTCTAGCACTAGCAGTTCTGCTGCAACAGCTTCGAGTATCAACAGTTCCGCGGACACGGCTTCAACTGTTAGCAACTCTGCAGCAACTGCTTCGAGTGCTAGTTCCGCCAGCGTAGCTTCGACTGCAAGCAGTTCTGTCAGCTTAACTGCATCTGCAGCTTCCAACATCCTAACCGTGGAAGAATTGATCAAAGGACGTGTTCTCGCAACAGGTAAATCGCTTCACCTGTTACTAATCGCCTCATAGGGGGAAAGAATTTTTGTTATATTTTTGCTTCGACAATATGAGATTTCGCGAAAAGACGTGACCATGCACGAATCAAGATCACAGGAGAAACAGACGATGCACAATTTCCGAATAAATGGTACGGACGTAGTGGACCAACGTAATGGCCGGTAAGTTCACCAGATTTAGCGCCGTTAGACTACTTTTTGCGGGGATCCATAAAAAGCATCGTTTATCAAACTGCACCCACGACTCCAGAACCACGAGGAGGCGAATTTCCGTTGCATGTGCAAGCGAAAGAAAAGAAACGATTGCCCGCGCGATCAATCATACGTTTCGCAGTAGATTACAGTATTTACGAGCCGAGCGAATTTCGAGGGTATCGTGTAAATACGATACGGAGTAACAAAAATATGATTTTGAATCGTGCTGATGTTTCATACTGTCGGAAGAAAAATATAAAAACTTATTATATCGAATCAGATTCGGAGGAACGTCCGAAGAAGGCCACAGAAGATGGTTCAAATGTATATCGTTTCAACGAAACACATCGTGGCTGTAGAGTTGTAAAATTACGAGAAACAAACGACCACCTTAATTGAAAAGCGGAAATTTTCTGTAATTGCAAACAATTACCCTGCGCGTCTGGCATTTACCCGGCTCTGTTTCCAGATGCAACAGAATCAACGGGGGCAGAGGTTTCATCGTCCAGCTCGGTCCTGACGACGGGGAATCCTGGGAATTCCGCAGTTACCGCCTCTGCTAAGGTTAATTTGACTACGACTGGTGCTGCAATCGCAGTCGGCGAGGCACCCTTAAGTAACGTTGTCGTATCAGCGCCAGCGGTTCCCCCGACGGTCGTTTCCGGGCCCTCGGGTACCATTTCCGCCGCCGCCGCCAGTGCGTTGTTCTACCAGGCGCCGTTCTAACCGTTCTGAAAGCTCGGACGGCTGTTTGTTCGTTCGGTGTTCTCGCGAGGTGAAAAACCGTTTCGTCGCGGGACTGGGCTGATTTACGAAGCTGCTGGGGCTAGCCAGCCGTCCTTTCGAAAGAGAGTTTCAGTTGGTCGAACGTTGATCTTGGCTACCGTGGCGAGAAAAAGACCGCGTTCGTTGACATTGCGTTGGCGATCACACCGATACGAAACAAGGAAGGGAAATGTTGTGCAAGGACGACCAGAACACGCCTCCGTATAGTCGTTGGCATTGATGGCAGCTCGTTGCTTTCGTGCAAATGACTGTTCGACACAATGGCGGACATTTTTACATCGCGAGACATCGAACACCTTTGTCGCGCTGATTGTTTTCAATAAACGGTGAGAGCAGAGAATGCCTCGGAGCTTTTGTGTTTTCCTTCCCCTTCGTTGTTTTGAATTTCGTATTTTCCATGGCTACGTGTTCTCAAAATACTCGTTGCACGGGTGGCTTGTTAAAAGATAACGAGATGTGTCAACAAAGTAACGAAGGTAAACTTTTACCTCGGAAACTGAAAACAATGCAGAAACGAAACTAAGCGGAGAATTATTAATTGGACCCTTTTCAATCGTACTCTTTTGTACGAGATTTATATAAAGTAGCTAATGATTGTTAAGCTGCAAATGACCCTCGACATTAAGTAAATAACGGAAAAAAGGAAAGCGTTCGAGCGGTTCCCCTTCTTTTCCTCTCTTTGGCGCAACGATCGCGCCATCTATCCGTGATCTACCAAGTACGGGGATCTCTCGATCAGTTTGAGATCACTTGTTGAACCGAGAAGAGTTAAAGGAGTAGACAGCAAGAAATAAATAGAAAGAACGGAAGGAGAGACAGAGTTGCATTATTCGATTACACAAGGTATTCATTCACCACTCACAGTTAACCCAATGAGGATCAAGTAGCGACATAATGAAATCATTTATTTTTCACAAAATTCTCTTTACTATTCCATCGAAAGAAACCGAGAATAAAAATCTGTTACGATTATTAATCGATTAATTTTGCTAAACGAATAATCGCGAGAATGGTTGGTGTTTCGAAGGTGATTAATAGTAAAAAGGGGAGGGCAAGGGAAATTTCGATGACCGCGGAGGGTAGCGCGTTATCCATGGCACACGACGAATTCTGGTATTGTTGCGAACGGTAACGGGGCACTCTAATTAAGTTATATTTATCCCCGTTAATCTAGTTAGCTCGCGATCGGAGTGATCTAGCGGCTGGCGCAACCTCCACTTTGGGTTAAATCATAGCAAACAAGCCGAACCTAAACCATGGCGATTAAGCTTGAAACTCAATTATTACCGTCCCGCTTTCACTAGGCAAATGGACTGTGTCGAGTTGGCTCGCTGCGGACTTTTGCTACGAACGGGCTAGCAAAATGTTTGCCCGTTCCACGTTTGAACCTCTTCCAACCATTATAGTCGGAAATACATTCCGCGACGGTGAACCCTTCTGGTGAACTTTATACTGTCACCTCTAACTGTAATCCTTCGAAACGCTTTTGTGCTAGCGTCGGTCTCTGCGCGACTTTTGGCCGAAAACAAGATTTACTTTCGTTAGACGGGACACGAAAAGTGGAATCGAATTGTTTTAATCAAACGATCGAATCGTGTTTCAATTTCTTTTATATTTAAATTATAACTTCACAATAATGACGTATTATAATTATTAAACCCCTTTGTTATGGATACGAGGTAAAAAATACAGGAATATAATATAAAAATAAAGGTACAATTAAAAATGGTATTATAGACCCTAATTCCGTATAACCTATTTTATTTATACATAGAGCCGATAAAAGTACTTCGTAACAATTGAGAGACTCCAAAACTGAAGGCTCTTGTTCGCTCAGGTGTTACAATTTCCCTAAACAAACAGTAAAGAATTGTAAGTAACGATGAGAATTCTACAACTGATTAAAAACAACTCGTCGAATTGTAGGCAGCGAAAATATTAATTTGTGTTTGGAAATTCGGGAATACATATGCCTTACCGAATGCAGCTTTGATCGAAGGGAATATGTTTCCTAGATCCTCGCCTTTTTGGGTATTCGACGAGATGTTTTCGTTTGCTGTATCACTATTTCCTAGATTTATAAACGAAGGCACGTTGTCGCTAGAACTACAACCTTGTTTCATAGAATTTCCCATTTTGCCTAATTCCTTCATAAAATCAGTCGGTGCAGGTGGTTGGGGTAGAAATGCGGAACTTAGGCTACGTTCGAAATTCGGTAAGCCGATTGCACCTACGAGACGGTCCAAAGGAATAGTCGCGGAAACATGTTTGGTAGTCTAGAAGACAAAATAAAGTATAATATTTAATAGGTATAAAAATTATTTAAAACGAAAATAAGCAACTCGATTGGAAAGAAATTGATACACAATACCTTATACTCGTTTATCATAAATGAAACGATTAATGCAACATATTATATATATATATATATCAACCTCTTACCAGCCGAGAAATACTTTCATAAATACAAAATTCATGGTGAAAACATAAATAAACGTGTGTGGAAATTTATCGATCGAATAAAATAAAAAACTGTTCAATTAGTTCGTTCGAGAAGCAACAATTAATTTCAATTTAACGTTTGCGTACGATCGAGTGAGACAGTGATTGCGAAATATAATAACGAGCTAGTGCAGATTTTATCGTGAGAACGGAAATACGTGAGATTGAATTTAATTTTCATTCGTGAATAATCAATAATAGTTGCCAGTGAATAGACGTTAAGAAATGCTGTAGAATAAATTTTCTCGTTTGCTATTGCGTTTAAAGATCCATTCTCTCTCTGCGCAGAAGAGCAACAATGACGATCGAGATAGGATTGTTCCTGCATTCGGAACACAGCGCGTTTCATGCGTTGGGGAAGCGTGAACTAAAAACGTTTCGTTTGAATCGCGCGATTCTTTTGCCGGAACCCGTATTAAATATTTCTCGCTTAATGCGAATAAATGAATCCTTCCGACTGGATACGCGAGAACGTTATGCTTCGTTCGTTTCAATTTAATGCGTCATTACTGTATTCCCGTTTGTCAAAGTCACGCCCGTCCACTTTGTCGCACAGTCCAAGTAACGTGTTTAGAAATCTTGTCGCGTGTTTCGAATGAAATTTCTGTTAGAAGCTCGACATTTTAAATAAACATCAAACGCGCCGAGAAAACTGACGACTGAAAATTGAAATTGAGAAACGTTTCTACAACAATCTCTCTGACTTTTATTTATAAATTTTAAAGAGAAAGTCTTAAACGAGTAATTTATTAATGTTTCCACTCATGTATTTCGAGTTATACTTAAAATGAGCAAAATATTATACAATCTACGTAAACCAAAGAATTAAGAAAAGTGATTTTAATATTATTACAATAAAATGTTTAATACACATACTTGAAGGGAAACGAGGAGCAACAAAGTAATGGCGATGAGTTTCCTTCCGTCCATAGCAAACACTGTGAAGAGATTTCGTAAATTACCTGAGATGACTCAACGACGTTGTGTGGCATACAGAATTTTTACCTACTTTATATACCATATTAATTCCCAACAATTTCCAATAATATCTCCGTTACGTGAATCCGATAACCGAAATTTAACATGCTTCGTTATTGTTACGATTTTGATTGACGTATTGAAACGCTACGGAACGTCGTAATCACGTGGCCACGTGCCCGATAGCCGTGTTTCGTAATAACAGCAACCGTTGGAGTCTTCCGTGATTATGGCGACGTCGATAAAAAAAAAATGCTCGTTTGCAGATTTTCAAGTAAATTTAATTTTTAGTGTTTCAAATTTCCTTAACATTTTATCGTTCCTGTTGAAACGATTCCCAGCCATATCTATCTTCGTTTAGGAAAATAAAAACATTGCAATGATGATAAATGCGAACTACAAAGGATACTACCATTGTTCGCGTTGAAATTTACACAATAGCGTAGCAACTACAAAACGTGGAAAAGTGCCTTCGTAGAAGACCATCTTCATTCTGTAGAAGGAGAAATGACAGGGATTGGATTGGGATTCGAACCAGGATTTTCCGCTTGTCGAGCGACTTCTCTATCAATTGAACTGTCCAACTCCGACAATTCTCTCTACCCATAATCCTTACAACGTACAAATAACTGTCACATATAATATGGCTGCCTCTCTATGACCATAATCCAACAATTCTCAGTATTCTCTATTTCTTTGTACCGATGGATAAACACTATGTGCTATTTTTACAATATACGAAATCTAATTCTCTATGAATTGCATACCAAGAATAATACTGTAACGCGTTCGTAAACAAACAAATATTTCAAACGTTATAAAATTATTCAAGCGTCCCGTGATCGCTGGCAATGCATTAGTTACGTTCATATTTATTATCGACCATCGCGAACGGCGATAAATAATAATTTTCGCGAAACGTGTTGTTATTGGGTCGGTTACGCCTCTCATTGTAAGTTACAACACAATACGTCAGCGCAAAATGGAGCGGGCGAGGGTTGAAATCGAGGTGCGGTGGTGCAGTCACGGCAGAGCGCGGTCATTAACTTCGATTTGTTCGGTTTGCAACGTCCCGATTCATTCTGTTCTTTTTTTTTAATAGCCCGATGGTTATTATTTCGTGCTCGATAGTTCGCGCCGCGACCACGCGCGATCGTTGCGTCCCATTAAACGTACTCTTGTCCGTCCAATTCGTGTTTCGTCGTCGGTGAAATATAAATGATTCTTTAATGAATACCGTGAAAGCGTTTCCGGCGGGAATCCGATTACCAGGCCACATGGACATGTTTCTGTAAGTGCCGATGATAATGTTATCCGTAGCAGTTTTACCACCACTGGCTAAATAAATATGATCCAATCGGTTGAACAAATGGTACCCGGTTCTATTATATGTATGAAAAGCGCCAACGTCATTTTCTGGAAATAATGAAGTAGGAAGTTTTGGAACTAGACCGTCTCAAAATTGAATCTTTTCAGAGTTTCGATCAGTATATAAAACGAGAGTTTGAATAACAAATAACTTAAAGACGGTGACAATATATTCTGAGTTTAAAAGACAAGATTTAGCAATAGGCTGTTTATCTACTCTTATACTGCTTGTCTTTATCCTAAGGAGAATCTGTGTCGCGCAGTAAATATAGATAGTAAACAAAATTGTTCCATTACTGGCTAGACGTAGTCGAGTAAAGAATAGAATTCCTTGAAACCTCGACAGCCAATAGAGTCACGTGTATTTGCCAGTCAGAAGGGATAATTAAATTCGCTGGATGTAAATGCTGATCAAGGAGCAGTTTACAAATACGAATAATCAAGGAACGATATAAGAGACTCGACGTCGTGAAAGGCGTCGGTC